CAGAATGCCGCGAGCGCACCGCAGGTCATGTGACAAGATCCAACCAATCAGCTTCACCCTTTCCGTAACAACATTGGAAGCTCAGTCAACATGAATTTTTACTATTAATAATAAAAGATAAGCTAATGTGCATTGTAAATGTCCGTAATTTATCTTTTTTTACTAATTCTTTTTATGAAAATGATTTAAAGGCTGAAATATGTGAGGTTTATCTTTTTATAAAACCTTTTTTGTCAACTTTATTTGAACTTGTACATGTTAGTAGATACTGTAACATGTTGCAAGACACTCCTTTAAAATAATAACATTAAAAATGATGGCCAGATTTTAATGTTTATTTAAACAAAAAGAGCATATTGATGCTATTTTTTTTGTTATTTGCTGGTTTTCGACATATAACTTGGTGAATTGATTTTATTTAGTAGTATTTTTTTTACCGGATTCTGTGATAACCGTGATCATTTTGGTCACTATAATCATGAAAGGAAACTCATGCCATTTCATCTCTAGTTATGATGCACTATAAAATCAACTATAATTATGTGTTTACAGTATAATATGCAAAGTACAATTTTCTATAAAAAAAATGAATCTCTGATTCTGTTCTTTTCACTGACATTTTAGGGTGACATATATAGGCCTAAAAAAACCTTTTAGGTCTAAAACAGTTTGGATAGCTGTTAATATGAGTTATGAGACATTATTTAGGAGATTTAAGTATTGTATTACATGAGTAGCTCTCGGCCACTTTCATTTTTAAAAAGTAGCTCTCAAATGAAAAAAGGTTGGAGACCCCTGGGCTAAACTAACGAAAAATAAAGCTTCTAGCCCAGAAGTTTCTAAGTAAAACAGCAGTAATGACTTTATGACCTCCTTTACTTACAAGATTGATAATATCAGGAAAAATTCGATTCATTCATTGCTATAGGAGAGGAAGAATTTTCTACTTGTTAAATCATCTAAATCGACAACATGTATACTAGACCCTATACCGACTGTAGAAAAGGCAGTATCTTCACAACTATGTTCCTTTTTAAGAAAAAATGATATCTGCGAGGATTTCCAGTCAGGATTTAGACCGTACCATCGTACTGAGACAGCTCTCATCAGAGTCACAAATGATTTGCTATTATCATCCGATCATGGTTGTATCTCTATTGGTGTTACTCGATCTTAGTGCTGCATTTGATACTATTGACCACAATATTCTTTTACATAGACTTGAAAATTATGTTGGCATTAGTGGAATTGCATTAGCATGGTTTAAATCATACTTATCTGACCGTTATCAGCTTGTAGCAGTAAATAAAGAGATGTCTTATCGATCAAAAGTTCAGTATGGCGTACCACAAGGCTCAGTACTAGGACCGCTGCTGTTCACTCTGTACATGCTACCCTTAGGAGATATCATTAGGAAGCATGGCGTTAGTTTTCACTGTTATGCTGATGATACTCAGCTCTATATTTCTTCACGCCCTGACGAAACTTACCAATTCACTAAATTAACGGAATGCATAGCTGATATAAAAAATTGGATGACTAGTAATATCCTACTACTTAATTCTGAAAAAACAGAGATTCTAATTATTGGACAAAAAAATTCCTCACGTAATAACCTAGAATACTGTCTAACACTTGATGGCTGCTCTGTCAAACCTTCGTCGTCAGTTAGGAACCTGGGTGTGCTCTTTGATACCAATCTTTCAGTTGAAAGTCACGTGTCTAGTATCTGTAAAACCGCATTCTTCCATCTTAAAATATATATTTCTAAATTACGTCATATGCTCTCAATGACAAATGCAGAACAGTTAGTTAATGAGACATCAAGGCTAGATTATTGTAATGCTCTACTGGGTGGTTGCCCTGCACGCTTAATAAACAAACTACAGCTGGTCCAAAACGCAGCAGCTCGAGTTCTTACCAGAACCAGGAAATATTACCATATTAGCCCAGTTCTGTCAACACTGCATTGGCTCCCTATTAAACATCGTATACATTTTTAAATATTGCTTATTACTTAAAAAGCACTAAATGGTTTAGCTCCGCAGTACTTGAGCGAGCTCTTAACGCATTATAGTCCTTCACGTTTATTGCGATCTCAAAGTTCCGGCCAGTTGACAATACCTAGAATATCAAAATCGACTGCAGGCGGTAGATCCTTTTCCTATTTAGCACCAAAACTTTGGAACAATCCTGATGTACTCGTTACATCATAAGAAGAATGGCGTCTATGCTATAGTCTCTCTGTTTATCCCGAGGTTTACCGCAGTCTGCCGGATCCAGGCCGTATCCAGATCTGATGAAGGACCTGCGCCTGGACATGACAACAACACAGTCCTGAAGTGTCAACTAGTCTCTCCCTGTGAGGGCCCCCTTCTCATCCCCTTTACCTCTGTACAGATAAAACATTGTCAAAATAGTTCTGGTTTACATGGCTACTCGGAAGCGATAAATACTTCTGTATTATAAATTTTTAAGGCCAGACAAGTAATTTGTTTAGGTCAATTTGTAAAGAAAGACTACACACCTGCGCACATATTCAAACGCGCATACCTATAGACTAAACATGTACTACGCATCTGTACGCCGTCAGCGTTTTCACAGGTTTGCGTTTTTAAAGCTTGCGCAGAGATATATATATTTTCTATTTATATAACGTATTTCAAGGTTTGCGTTCTCGAGCCACCAAGCACTGTTGTTGTGCGAATGAGCGGGCCGGAGCGCGTTAAGGGTTTTCTGTTAAAACAGTGTTGTGTAAGCGGCCCCTAAGTTAATAACTAAAGATCTTTGCAATGGAAGAGAATGGATCAAAACTAACTTTAGCTGGACAATAACTTTATTCTAGAGCTGCTGTGAAGGCAAAATCTCTGTTACTTTAATTTCCTATTATCACTGTAAAGCTGCTTTGAAACAGTCCATATTGTTAAAAGCGCTATATAAATGAAGGTGACTTGACTATTGATCAAAGGAGAATTTGGGCATGGACTGTGAAAGACATCATTAAATCTCTGACCCTCAGAGGTCAAACAAGACCAGGGCATTCACTGCTGTTGTCCTCACATCAATGAAGAACATCCCAGTGGACCAATAAAAATACTCAGAGTAGAATTAAACTTCCTTTTAGTTTTGTAATCTGACAATAGAGTCATTAGACCATACCAGCCATCCATGTCATATGACTGTCAAATATTTCTCACAGATACCAGTCTGCTTTAGGATGAGTAGAGAAATGGATAGATGGTTAGATAGATGGATAGATGGATGAGTGTAAGGGATGATGGGTGTGTGTATTGTGTCGGAGGCTCAGCTGGCACTGTGTCTCAGCTCTGCGTGTAGCTGTAAATTAGCCTTGACCAATGAGGTGTTACTCTACATTCTGGACATTTCCATCTGCACGCTGTCTCACAACACTCTGTCACATTTAACAGGAGCTTTTCTGCTGAAAACTATTATGTTTTCAGCACACTTAGGTGAGTGCCAATCACAGGACATTTTATTCCAGTCTCCAGTGGAGCAACATAACTCTTGATATGCTTTTCCTAAGTTTAAGGCTTAGTTTAAATGTATGGTTTTGATTCTCTGTAAATGAAATGCTGCATCACACAGTGTTTTTTGTCAGCTGTGCATGATGTAAAGATGACTTTATGTATAAACACTGAATATGCACTGTCACTGATGTCAATTTGAACGTTCAAGCCAGTGGATTATTTTCAAACGGCAATCTGTTTTTTTAAACATAGTTCTTTAAAAAAAATTATAGCAGATCTAAACCTAAAATTAACTGACAAAGTTTGAATTGAAGCAGTACCTTAAGTTAATGGTAGAATTTTTAATACAGGGTTAAGGCTTTATAACAAGCCCTATTAAGAAAGTTTGGGGAATATATGTGCGGTTCTATCTTGAAAGCACTGTAAAACTTCATAGCCAGTGTAAATACAGTCTTACATGGACACATTGCTGAAGGGTCTAATTTGGTCAAATTAATTTACTCCCTCAAATGAAATCCTTTCATGGATTTTTAGTTTGTATCGCATTTTCATCGGTTGTCATGGTTTTTCATTAGTTCATTGATTATCTGTCACCTGTTTCCTTTCAGTTCATTATCTTGTGTGTATATATTGCCCTCAGTTCTCTCAGTTTTTTGCCGAGTGGCCGTTTCACCTCGGGTGTGCATTTTTTCTTCTTCAATAATTCAATGGACCGGAGTCAATTATTCAGTGTATAGTTCGGTTACCACACCTCAAGACATTGTTGTTTTTCAAGGCATTTGTCGTGTTTTTGTCCTTGTAGGACTAATTTCTTACATATCTAATCACACGCTTCCGTTGCTAATTCCAAAGCGCCATTTTAGAGCTAGTAATGGAGACTTGAGCCATTGATAGCAGACGAGAGAGAGAGAGAGATATTAACGTGTGTGAATTACCAAAGTCTGTGTGTCTCTTAACAGTGTTCGGGAGCAGCGTCTCTACAAATAATGAATCTGTAAGTTTATCTGCTTCAAGAACAGCGCCGTTATTACCCTGCTAGTGAGAAATTTCATGTAGCTTTAAGTTGCTAAACTGTTTTACTGATAAATTTTAGTTTGTGTGTGCGTTTTGAGTGGGAGAGAGAGCGGGACAAAGAGAGTATGTGCTATCCGTACATAATAAAATGTAATTTTGTGGCAAAAAACATGGAAATAATTTGTTGTTTTCATCCTGTTGTTTACTATATTTATTTGCTGGATCAGTGTCACTGTGGGTTTTGTTTCTTTTGCTGTTGTCGTCTATAAGAACCTTTGAAATAGCTGAAATAATTTGGCGAAGTGATATGGAACTGTAATGCGGTCAAGACCTGCACACCTTAGAACATCCGTCAACCAATCAGAGTCGAGCATTCAACAGTCCCGCAGTATAATGAACGATTATGCTGCTAAAGATCCGTCATCTTGCCTTGCCTCGACATAATCTCCATCGAAACGTTACAAAATCCCACGTGAATGGAAGGAAGCTGGAACTCACATGTTAGTGTTGGCAGTAGAGGTTAGCCACTCTCCAGCTAAGCCAATGATGTCTAGACCTGAAGACAACTGGTTAAAAAACCTTGGGTGACCTGCAGGGAAAGAGAGAATATGATACTTTTGATATGATGCTTTTTTTACTAGTCAACAAGACTGAAAGAGCATGTCACCTGTCCGGACTCCGTATTTGAGCGTGTCCCTGCAGTCCACCAGGATCTGCTCCAGGCTCTCGGGCTGATCACACAGCTCTAAGTTGAAGCCCTCCATGCCCTCCAGCAGCTGGTGTGGATGATGGAAGTCCAGCACTTTTGTGGATCTGTCGAAGGTCTTCCGCACATAGTTAGTGAGGATCTCCACCACCTCCAACAGGAACTGCATGGTGTACTCCTCTCCATTTTTAGCAGGAAGCAGATCTGTGACCAATTTTGTTACACAGTTTTATCAGTCAAATTGCTGTTGTACACAAATGTTGGTTACACTTTATTTAAAGGTGTCATTGTTACAGTGTAATTATATATTTAAGGAGTAATAATAACTAACTACTATAGGGTTAGGGTTTAGGGTTAGTTGCATGTAATTATGCATAATCTATTACTATTGTAACTACATGTAACAAGACACTAAAATAAAGTGTAACTCAAATGTTTTTGTTTTCTCGTTATATGTAATTATATGTTATTGTTTGTTATGTGTAATATGTCATTTATATATATTTTTTGTATTATGAGTGCAAAGCAGAATATTTTAAATGAAAATAATGTTACATAAATGTCATAAAGGTAATTCATGCAAAGCATTTACATAAATGTAAATCATGGTGACATTTTTGTCAAATCCTCTATATGCAGAAAGATATTTTACAAATAATTTAAGGAAGAAATACACTGTCAACACAGACTCTAACAGATCAAGTTTGAGAAGGAAAAATCTGCTCGATCTACAACAACGAGAACTTGTGAATTTACTTTTGGTTTGGCAAACTATTTACAAACTCTCAACGCTATCACGACCAATTCCTACGAATTCGTACGAGTGATTAAAAGGTGGCTAATTCGTATGAATTCGTACGAATTCGTACATTTGTCTAAACCCACGTGATGGGTAGGTTTAGGGGCGGGGTCAGGGGTAGGTCATTCGTATGAATTCATACGAATTTGGTAACTCGTAAAATATGTACGAATTAGCAAAAATCGTACGAATTTGTACGAGTGAGGTCGTACGAATTCATACGAATTAGCCACCTCGTAAAATTCGTACGAATTGCCGAAACTCTATATAGACCCATGCTTTGATGTAACACTCTCTGCTTTTAAACCATGGAATTTCATTTTTGAACCTTTTTTCATTTATTCTAAAACACAAATATCACTTATTATTTATATACTTTATTTAATATAAAAATGTTCTTCTAATATAAAGTATCCGAATGCAAATTCAATTTTCAGGAATAACCAGAAAATACTTATTTTAAAAGGCAAATAAGAAACTTAATCTTTGAGTTCATAGATTATACTAAACCAGCATCTTTTGTGGGTTAAGTTTAAAAAAGTGAGGCTTTGTAAGCTTCAGGTTGCCTATAACTGTACAGGATTCTGCAGAAAAAAAAAGTTTAATATAGCCTACATTTATTTGTCGGCTTGATATTGACACAATGCTATTATTATGCTATTTGTCAAATCATATAGGCAAAATTATTGTGCGATAGTCCCATATTTTTTAAACTATTTTTTTATTACTGTTTTGTATTGTATTATATTTTGTAGTGTCTGTTAATGTTTCTTCTCTCTGATGGTCTGGAAATAAAGTTTAGTCTCTCACCTCTTGCGTACAGATTGGAGAAGTCAGTCTCAGTGCGCCTGAAGCCAGACTCTCTCGCGTTGTCCCGTGTTAAAATGCTCTTGGGCTGCTGATCGTTAAAAAACCCGACAATTCGGCTCTTGTCCTCAACATTATTGTTCTTCTGCAAAAATCCTACATTATTACACACAGAGGAAGACTGAAATGAGCGCCCTCCGTTCCCAAACATTGCAGCAAAAATAATTGACCACAAATGAAATGTGTTTGTTTTACGTCTCTTCGAGATCGGAGCAGTTGGGGTGTACTGTCCGACTCATGTGTATTTATGGCACGGGTTATCAAGGGGGAGGTCACCACTGATGACATCAGAGTAAGCGTGATTTAGAACCTTCATCATCATCATCATCACCACCACAGAGAAGCAGAAATGAGCGCAGACTAACGGATGATGTCAGGGACCACCGCAGCTTATAAATGCTAAAACAAATAAAAATAATTTTACTTTTGTATAGGTTAGGTCTTAACAGTAGGCTACTTAAGCAAAAAAAAAAAAAAAAAAAAAACATAAAAAAATCTGAGAGCAAAATTTAAGATCTTATCACATTGCACTAATTATAGAGGAATTCGATTTAAATCATCACGTCAGATTATGTCCTTAACAACAGAAGCTCTTTCCATCCCCATGAACGACGCAGATTGTTTCATTCTGTCTTCTGCTGCAGCTTCCTCATTGTCATCCTCATCTTCATCAGCTCAATATGGGATCATTCAAGCGGTGCTTATGAACACTCTTCTTTCCACACGGCGGTGAGAACGACATGAAAGCATGCAGGCTATGCCAAATCAACATATGGTGGTAAATAATAGCGTAATATTTCATTTAAATCGTTTTTCAGACAGGATGAAATTGAATCCTATGTTATTGTAATTTTATAGGAAGTCTTATTTATATTTGACAATTTATATCTAGGCCTACATTTCCCACTCGTCTGTAATGAAACACAACCATAAACCGATTTATAGCACGACTAATTCATGGACGACCATTTCTTTTGAAAGCATATATGTTATCTCGGCAAAACAGAGGCTTGACGAATTGCCGTTTAATAGATTTCCATTGAGAATAAATTCTCTTGGGACACAGATTTAGGCTCACCTCTTAAAACAATCCCCCCCCCCTATATTCTTTAACCTTTTCGAATG